GATAGATTTTTATTCGACGCCCAATACTTGGAGTATATTAACCTTTCAGGCTCGAATCCAACGTCGTGAATGTTATGTGTGAATGAATGAAATTTGTATTAATTTTTATGAATTTATTTTGTGTAAAATACATAACGCTGGACGAGTAACGAAGACAGCGAGTCACACTCCACTTAGCCGTCTGGTGATGAAGTTCCTGCTCTTCTTTGGGTTCCTGTTTACGTTTCTGATTGTTCCCGATTTTCAAGGCCACCTGTCTGCCATTTTGTCGAAGCCCTTAATGCCCAACGCTGAGACACTGAAGGATCTCTATGAGAATAAGTTCCATGTGTTTTATTGGGACAAATTAGAAAATGATATCATCAATGAGCAGCTTTGGGTCACTGATGAGAACAAAAAATATCTTCATCCGTTGAGTAATCGAAAAATGTTGAACTGCTGGAGAGAAGTTCTCGACAGTCCGAAAAAAGCTTGTATCCGTCGAAGAGACTCATTTGTAGGCCAGACTTATAGATACCCAGAATTGCATGTGTCGAAGGAGCCTATCTTTAGGAAGAAATTTGTTTTGTGGGTGAGAAAGAACTGGCCCTTGAAGAACAAGTTTGATGAAATAACCATCAAGACTTTGGAATCTGGAGTCGATGGAATAAGCGTTAGGAAACGATTTATGGAGAAATTGGCCAAGAAAAGATTGGCCAAGGGGAAGAGTGAAGAAAGCGATAATTTTGAACAGTTTGACTTTGATGAATTGATATTCATTTATTATTTTGTCGGGTATTCCCGTGTAAAAAAAATCGTCTTAAAATTGTCTTAAAATTGTCGTTCGTTTAAGATCTTAAACGTGACACAAACTAAGACTATTTTAAGATTCTTTTAAGATGCCAAAAAAAAAAATTCCGAGATTTTTTAATAATTATTTTGATTTTTTTAAGACTATTTTAAGATTTTTTCAAGACGATTTTAAGATTTTTCTAAGACTATTTTAAGATTTAAGCTTTAAAATAATTTAATTAAGACTTAAAGAGAAGACAGCGGCCAAAGGTATTCTGTTAATAATTGAGAATGGTTAATCTAAATTTATTATCATTCCAGTAAATTAAATTAATAACATTATGAAATAAATAGTATTAATAGTAAGTAAGATTAGTAACATTAATTATATAGGAAATGCATAAGTCAAAACGTCAGGTGGTTATAAATTCGTAATTGGCTCTCTTAGATACTAAAATGGTTGCTAGCACGCTGACCGTCAAGGGCTGATTAAAGCACATTATGTCTAATTTCATTTGATCATTGTCACATATGTAGTTACTTAGAGACATCAGTTTGTAAAGTGGAGAATTTCTAGCCAGGTTTGAATGGACTGAATGAAGATAAAACGTAGGGTTTGACCTAGTGTTAGCTTGTGGGACTGCTATTGCAAACTGTTGCAAAAATCTAGGACATTCTATGCTACTATTGAATAGGCCTTTTACAAAAAGTATCGAAGCACAGATCCTCCTCTCCTCCAGGGTGAGTAACCCAGCATCCAAGCAGAGAGAATGATATTCTGTGCCTCTTTCAGGATATATCCCATACTTTTTGTAAGCAAGGTACTTTAAAAATCTACGTTGGACCTTTTCCAGTTCCAGCTTATGCTTAGCATATAAAGGAGACCAGACCACTGCAGCATATTCCAGCTTAGGACGTACCAGCGCAATATAAAGTGTTAAGATGGCTTTAATGTTCGTAAACTTTTTAGTTAATCTAATAACAAAACCTAGTTATTAGATATTAAAAAATTTTTAGGCTATTTTCAGATGACATCACAGTGACAGCTCCGGAAAGTTATTATGGAGCGTCTTTAAATTGTCTTAAATTAGTCTTAAAAAAATCTTAAAAAAAAATTTAGACTATTTTAAGATGGGTTAACAGCGACAGAGTCCCGGAACATTAAAACGGAACGTCCTCAAAAAGTCTTAAAATTGTCAGATAATAATTTTTTTAACAATTTTAAATTCAATTTAAAAACATCTTACTCAAAGATATTGCGGTTAGAAAGTCGTAAAATCATCTAAAAATTAATTTTCACAACAAATTCAAGAACAAAATTTTCAAAAATCTGCTCTCGGAATTTTTCTTTTGGCGTCTTAAAAGAGTCTTAAAATAGTCTTAGTTTGTGTCACGTTTAAGATCTTAAACGAACGACAATTTTAAGACAATTTTAAGACGATTTTTTTTTACACGGGTTGCACCGCTTTTGCTGTTATCGTTTTAATGATTGAAATAATATTCGCTCGATATTTTAGAAGTCTTAGACAGTTATTTGTGCAAAGAGGTTTTTAATTATACTCCGTTTGGATGTTGATTGTTGTTAATTATTGACTCGTGTGTTTTCAAATTTACAGTGAATCTTTTTTACCATAAAATAAATTAATTTGTTAATCCTTTTATTCTTATTTTAATCTTATTGGAAATAATTTTATACTTTTAAGTTTGTATTTTTATTAAAACTCTGTTCCATTATCCTGACCAGGATCTTCAGGATTACAGAGTTTTTATATTCAAAGACTCGGTAGTGCCTTGTGTCAAGTACTAAGGCGTGTACTAAATTATGCATCGCTCAATCCATGAAACAAGAATATAACTAAGGTTAAGATCAACTAGGGAGTATTGTTCGTTTTTCAATTTAAAACAATTATAATTTAAAAAACTGAATACACACTTTAATAAAAAAACAAACTTACATGCAGAAAATAATTTTTAAAAAGTTTAAAATAAAAATAGAGGGATTAACAAAAAAATTAATTTACTTTATTGTCCAAAAGCTTAATGTGCTTTTTGAGGTATTTTCACAATGGCTCCACTTTAACCAATAGATAAAATTTGTTGTATATTTTTTTTAAATATACTACAAATAAGTCTGTAATAAATTAGAAGTGCAACTTTGGAGTTAAATAAAAAACAATGTAATTGTATCCGGATCAAATGTTGTTTTAATACTTTTAAGAATAAATTCATTTAATGTTTGTTATTAACTAACGTATTTATTATTATAGTTTTAAGAACAAATTTTGTTTATGTTCGTTATTAATTAACACCTAAGTTTATCAAGATCGTGTTGTCAGCATGCTAAATCCTTTATTTGTATTTTTTAATTAGTTTTTTTTAATTATCCTAAATAATTTATAGTTAAATATATAAACAATAATGTTTGTAAGGTTGAAATAATATAAAAGTCTTTTTAATAAACAACTTGATGTAGACATTTAGTACTTGTCCCACCAGTGACAAATGCCTGTCCCACCAGTCACAATAAAAACAAATTTTTTTAATTGTTTCTACGTAGGTAATCAGTCTAATTCTTCATAATATTCAATGTTTGTAGGATTAATTTAGTATTTTCGAGGGAAGTATTTTTTTTTCAGTTTAGTGGTCGAACTGAAATTGGATTTTAAGTATACCTTTGGTAAGAGAGAAGGATTTGTTGTTAGTCCCACCAGTCACACTCAGTCAAATGATAATTACAAGAAACTTAAAAAGTAATGGAGGTTTTTGACAAAGAGATGTTGTTAATTAGTTAGTCTTTTATATTATAAGATGAATTTTACTATAGTATAAGTTTCAGTCACATAATTATATATAATTGATGGAATTCCAGAGTCAAATGTCCCACCAGTCACTATAGAATGCCCCATAAATAAAAAATTCATGTAAAAAAACTCATCAGTTAATCTATTTTAAAATAGGACAGTAGTGGAATTAATATACAGAAAAATAAAAACTCTATTAATTTACAGCAATTATTTCTTTTTAATTAACAATTAAATTATTAATTAAAATCATCAATTTGTATAACCATGCTTTTCATAAAATATCTACTTCCCCTTCCCTGTTCTCTTTAGCAACGCCCATTTCATTTAAAAGAATAAAAATATATTTCAATTTTTAATGCATTTTATATAATACAAACTAAATTATCATAATCATAATTGTACATAAAATATAAATGGTCCATTATTTTCGCGTATATACATAGCAGCATTTGTTATTTAAGAATTACACTTGGTCAGTGAATTTTTTTGTTTATATTACATAATGTTTTAATTCTTTAAAAAAAATCACTTTAAAAATACTGTTATTTCTTTATCAGTTGATATATTGTAATATCTAATCAATTGAAGATCAAAAAGATACTTCTACGAATATAAAATTAGAATTACTATCTATAATATCATTTAAAAGATATATCAAATTATGATTACATGATGAAACTCTTTAATCTAATCAAGTAATGTTTAAATTATATGAAAATTTTTTAAATCCCGACGGAAAAAATATTTAAAAAATTTATATGTCGTATATATTTAATTTATATTTTTCTTTTCCGCCGAAAATTTATATGATTATAAAAAATTATTCATATACATTTATGGTAAAAAAAATTTTATTTGACACATAAATTTATTGTATATTTTTTTAACGGAGAAGATTATTTTTACTTCAAACAATTTTCTTTTCGTACATTAAACTTAGGTAACTTGATTAAATTTAAGTACTTATTGTTTAATGAAATCTCACTATACATTGAAAGAAAAATTTTTGAAATGAGCCTATATCTTACTAATGATATGTTTAAAGATCTAAACTCATCTCGATGTTACACTCATCGAGACCTTTCATTTGAGTACCCACATCAATTTTTTATATATTTTATATATTTCTCAAATATCGGATATATATAAATATTTTAAATTTTAAAAATAGGAATTCCTCTGTTTTTTTTCATAATAGTTCGTCATAAAAATCCAAATATTGTTAGCTATCAACTTCAATTTCATATTATTCTTAAATTACGTAAAACTTATTAATTATTGTCATTAACAATCAGTATTGTCATATTTTCTCTGTACTTATACTTCTTTTTTTAAAACTTAAAATTAACGCGACTTGTCTAAATTAGAAGCTAATGCTTATTTTCAAAAATAAAAAATTTGAGCAACCTAAAAATTAAACTAACATTAAGTACATAATGATTCTTGAGTTTTTGCATCAGCCACATCATCTTTGACTTGGTACTTTTTCAAATTAGCTTCACTTGACTCTTCTCCGCAATTATTCCTGTTCCTACTACGAATGCGCCGTGCAATGCATGGAAAAAATAAATCAGGATCAAGATTTTTCTTGACCCGGTCCAGTCCCAAAGATTGCAACAAATTGCTGGTGATCCAACCGACTACGATGGTCATAACGACACCTATTGGCGCGTACCATAAGTAAGAAATACGGTAGAGGTAAAAGAACTCTTTTTTTGGAACAGAATTATTTTGAAAATTCAACGTTCCGTTGAATTTTGCGAGTAAATCACTATTACAGCCTTCAACAGACATCGGCAAAGCCTGGGGGAATGGTCTTGGACCTCCGAATGAAATCCATATCAAAAATATCAATGACAATGTTGTTCCGAAAATAGCGCCGCGCTGCGTTGATGACTCAAACAACATACCAAGGGTGAACAAACCTACTAAAGGACCTCCAACGACTCCAAAAATTGTTAAACTCATCTGAAATAATTGTAAAATGTCATTTTATTTTACATTGAGAGAACAAATTTATTTTTGAAAAAATGAAAAATTTTGGAATAAGAAAATTAAATTTAATAAATCAGAAATGACATTGGATTTTCTTAGCTATTGATATTTCTGAAGATATAAGCTCATTTTGATGTTACACTTATCGAGACCTTTCATATGAGTACCCACATGACTTTTTTATATATTTATATATATATGGGATATTTGTAAAATATATAAATTTATGAAAATTTATGTGGGTACTCAAATAAAAGGTCTCGGTGAGTGTAACTTCAAGATGAGCTTATATCTTTAGAAATATCAGTAGTTAAGAAAATACGATGTAATTTCTTAATCAATGACATTTTTGAAGATATAAGCTCATCTCGGTAATATACTCATCGAAACCTTTCATTTGAGTACCCACATACATTTTTCATATATTTCACAAATATATATATATATATATATATATATATATAATATATAAAAAATTGCATGTGGGTACTCAAATGAAAGGTCTTGATGAGCATAAAATCAGAATGAGCTTATATATTTAAAAATGTCAATAAAAGTTTCCTAGATTTGGACAAAAAAAAAATTTTGCCCTTTTTTTCAAAAGAAATTTTTTTTTAAGGTATGAAAAATTGAGTAATTCTGAGAAAGTAATAGATATATTATATGTAATTTTACCTGAAGAATACTGTTCAAATATTGAGCGAGAATAGCCAAAAGTATGCAGAAAATTCCCAAAATAAAAGCTAACACTTTACTACATATCAGTGATTTTTTTGGAGAAAACTCCTTCCCAGTGCAAATAAAATACAATGGCTTTATGTAATCCTCTAAGCTAATTGCCGCAAGAGCGTTCAAGGCCGCAGATATGGTGCTTAATCCAGCGCTAAAGATACCTGAGATAAAAAGTGTTATTACTAGAATTTGATAAGAAAAAATAATATATAGTGTCTTTAGTTCAATTAAGATTAATAAACCTGCGACGAATAATCCAGGTAAACCGGGAAGCGATGATGTCATGTCCATGATGTACAGTGGCATCAACATATCGTTTTTTTTTATTGTTGTTATTGTTACAGGGTCGCAGTTGAAGTATTTACTATAAATTGCTAGGCCACTAAAACATGTCATTACGGAAAGTAATGTTAAGATTGGCCAACTTAACCATAGTGCCTTTTGAGCTGATTTTAAACTTCTGTAAACAATTAAAGAATTATTAATTACATGGCTACTTTCGAAATAATTCGGCTTATTGATACTAATTTTTTTTTTTCCCAAATCTAGAAAATTTTTATTCACATTTTTTAAGAAATAAGCTCATTCCGATGTTATACTCATCGAGACCTTTCATTTGAGTACTCACATCAATTTTCGATATATTTTTCATTTATACAAATATATGAAATATGTAATATATATAAAATATATGAAAAATTGATGTGGGTACTCAAATGAAAGGTCTCGATAAGTATAACATCGAAATGAGTTTAGATCTTTAAAAATGTCAGTAGTTGACAAAATACAAGGTCATTTTTTAATTATTGATATTTTTAAAGATGTAAGCTCATTCTGACGTTATACTCATCAAGAGCTTTCATTTGAGTACCCACATCAATTTTTGATATATTTTTCATTTATACAAATATGTGAAATATGTAATATATATAAAATATATGAAAAATTGATATGGGTACTCAAATGAAACTTTTCGATGAGTATAACATCGAAATAAGTTTAAATCTTTTAAAATATCATTAGTTGACAAAATACAATGTAATTTAATATTTACTGACATTTTTAAAGATTTAAACTCATTCCGATGTTAAACTCATCGAGACCTTTCATTTGAGTACCCACATGGCATTTTTTATATATTTTACATATATGGTATATGTGAAATACATAAATATATAAAATATATGAAAAATTGAGTGGGTACTCAAATGAAAGGTCTTGAAGAGTGTAACGTTGAGATGAGCTTATATCTTTGAAAATATCATTAGCTGACAAGATAACATGTAATTTCATAATTACTGACATTTTTTAAGATATAAGCTCATTTTGATCTTATTTCCATCGAGACCTTTCATTTGAGAACCCACATGCATTTTTTTATATATTTTATATATATGATATATACGATAATTACAAAATATATAAAATATATGAAAAATACATGTGGGTACTCAAAAGAAAGGCCTTGAAGAGTGTAATAACGAGATGAGCTTATATCTTTAAAAATATCATTAGTTGACACGATACAATATCATTTCTCAATTATTGACTAGTACATGATTATTATATCTACTCACTTAACAGTCAGCATTCGTTGTACTTGAATTTGATTGATTCCATAGAGTGACAAAAAAGTACACATTCCACCGATTATAAGACCCCAGCAAGTATGTCGTTCAGTTGGATCCAATGAAAAGCTGTAAGTCCATACAATTTACCATAAAAATTAAATAAAACCTATTAAAAATTGATATTACATACTTGTTAAAGTTCAAACGGCCACCCTCTCCTGCAATTTCCCAAATTTTGTCAAGCCCACCAACTGAAGAAGCTGCAGTGGCTATGATAATTATCAATGAAGCGAACATCAAGAAAGCCTGGAAGATGTCCGTAATCAATACAGCTTTTATTCCTCCGATACTGGAATAAAAAGCGCAGGCTAAACCCACTGATAAAATGCTAGTGAGTTTTTCCATTCCAGTTGTGGTTTTAAATGCTAATGCTGGAGCGTAAAGCACTATTCCAGAGTACAGCAACATTTGTAACCATACTATGGAGCTTGCTAATATTCTTGCTGATCCGCCGAATCTTTTTTCTAAATACTGGAAGATAATACATCTTTTTTTTAATTAATTTTTTAATTAATTTTTTAGTTAATTTTTTAATTAATTTTTAAGTTATTTTTTTTATTGATTTATTAATTGATATTTTATTTTTATATTTAATAAAATACCTCATAAGTACTTGTAGCTTGTAATTTGTAAAAAACTGGTAAGTATCCGTAACAGACTATTGGTGTTCCAATTAAATAGGAAAAATTAATTATGACAAATATCGCGCCGTAAGTATAATTTTCAGCTGAGACGCCTAGTAATGTTATTGCTGACATAAATGATACCATCAAACAAATACTGATGGATATTGGGCCCATAGATTTATTTGCTGAAAAATATTCCTGTAGACAAAGAAGAAAAATTATTTTTATGATGAAAATGGTTTAATTTAGAGTTGATCTATATGATTAAAAAAATTATAAAAGAAATATGTTTAATATAATGATAAAGTATTACAAAGAGGCTAAAAGAAAATTTTTTTGAAAAAAAAATAGTCAATTTATTATAAGTATTTAGGCTGCATTTGAAAATGCTCTATCTCTACAAACATAATTAAAAAATTACCTTGTATTTTGTCAACTATTGACATTTTTAATGATATAAGCTTATCCCCATTTTACACTCATCAAAAGCTTTCATTTGAGTACCCACATCAATTTTTTATATATTTATATGGGCGATTCTCTGTAAGGATGTTTTTTTGCTGTTCCAGGCATTTTTTTATTAAAAAAATTGTTATTTTGTTACTAAAAAAAATTTATTACCAAAGTAAAAAAACATTTCTATTTGGAGCATTGAAAACTAAAATGAAATAAATTTTGGTTTTTTTGCTATAAATTGGTAAACCACCAAAATAACAGTCCCCTGGGCTGTCTCATTCCCAAAATTAAAACTTTAAGATTAAATTTTAAGTTATTCGTCCATAATATATAATTTGGTCGATAATGTTTATAAACTTAATTAGTTAACTAACAATCTTCTTCAATAAAAAGTACCGAAAATTAATTTGTTTAATTAAATTCATAAAACCAAAGTTTGTCCCAGGCATTTGAGATCAGTCCCCTGCCAGAAGTTCAAAGCCAAAAATAAAAAAATCCAGCGTGTTATTTTACCTTTTGTAAAGTTTATGAGGATCTAACTAGCCATAGGGCTCCCGAGAAAAAATATTTATATATAATTATATATATTTATATATAAATTGGTTATATATGATTATATATGAAAAATGGCCAAATATAATCATATCTAATTATATATAATTATGTATAATTATATATAACTATATATAACAAT